CTTCGGAAATCCAGTAATAACGAGCACACAAATGCTATGTCGCAGGCCTGTTGTTGCGCAGCCGCGCGCAGTCACGCGTGACTGGAGCAAATTTTTCGCACCTCACAAGTTCCAACCACCTAGTGTTGTCCAAACTGTAGTGTTCTTAAAGAGGAACGTGGACTGTTTATGTTTTTTTAAACGGTTACTTGTTTACTTGTTTTTTTTAGACAGGGAATGATGTTAGGTCAATAGGGTCATTTTAGATGAGATAAACACCATTCAAAAGCCTTTCGAACCTTCCACTGAAAAGTGAAATGACATCCTGATAACGAAATCGTGTTCAGCTAAGGCTTTAATATGGGGCTATGATGTATATGTGGTGAAAGATCGCTATCACAGACTTTTCTCAAAATGTACTAGCAGAGTTATCTATCAGACTGACCGCAAAAGCAAGGTGTGACGTTTTTAATTGGCTGGTTCGAGTTGCATAGTTATTGAGAAAGTGGTAGTAATCGTCTGTTTTAAGACATTTCTGAGAGAACAGCTACCATAGCGTGGGCAAGGACTGTGAACGAAAGCACCATCTTGAAGCCAGAGACTGATACAAATGCACCATTCAACCAGTTGTATTCATTCTCAAATTGTTAGTAAGTTAAGTTCGTCAAATCTCCGGTTCAAACTCACTCTCATGATTTTCTTTCGGGCACTGTTTTGCAGAAATGAAAAGATTTTAGAGTACGCTCATAAATCCTCTAGTATTATGAATCTCATCTCAAACGGCCGTACTGGCCAAAGTCATTCCTTTGCTAGTTTTTCAATTTCTTAAAATGAAATGAATGCAATTGAAATTGGCAAAAAGGCAAACAAGCAGGATTTGTAGCTGTCTGGATCTCGAAATAGCATAACATGGCTAGCTTTCTCTTCATTGAAAACCGTGCACCTCTCCTGTCTCGTGAATGTCTAGGTTTGCTTTGAGAAGATAGGCAAGCTTGGGTTACGTTGCAAAGTAGCACCCTCTTCATAAGTTCCAAGTTATGAACCTATGCATTACTAGTGTAGTTTATATAATTATTTTAATTCAAAGTGGATGAGTTACCTGATCTGATTCTGATCTTTCCCAATAGCTCAAAGTTGATATATGTCTTACCGGAACCGCAAGGAAGTGGACTAGGGTGTTGTAATGTTAAAGCTATCAAAACCCATGATCCAATTATTATGGTTTACTGTAGTGCAATGCTTATATATTCATCAATTCCTTGCCAGTGAGTAGTGCAGTGGCGTTTGGGTAGTAAACGGTCAACTAAATTGCTCAAATTTTACTCTTACTTTTGCTTCGATTCTTATGTTGTTGACAACTACAACAAGTTTGATCTCTATTTTTTGATTGTAATATATGATTGTACACTTTTTACTTACCATTTTTTTAATCTTCACATTATCCCGCTTACGCAGGGTCTGCTGTGCGAATTAACTGTCCCTAGTATTCCCGAAGTAAGGCATGAAGTTCGTCTATCTTACGCTCTCTCAGATCGGCTCTGTTTCTGTCCAGCCACCTTATTTTTAGCCTTACCCGGATCTTTTTCCAGCGACCTCCAAAGACAATGCCATTCTTGTGATGCGGGTCTCATCTCTTCTACTCACATGCCCATCCACCACAGTCCTTTTGCTGCATCTTCTTGGCGATAGGAGCAACTTCCGAGCTCGAAATGCGTCATTACAGACATGATCCAAAAAGGCCCTCCAATGTCCATCGCAGCATTCTTTTCTCCAAAACACTGAGCTTGTGTCCTTCAACTCGTGTACTTGGTACATTCGCTGCCAACAGCGCTGTTGGACGGAACAGTATATATTCGCGACTTGAGTTGTACCGACAGCGCTTGTCATATAGAACCCCTGTGAAAGCTCTCCATTTCATGCATGCGGCGTTTGTATAGCTCATCTTGAAGTCCTCCTTCCTCAGAGATGCGACTTCCTAAGCACTTGAAAGTACACGTCTTCTTGATTGGCTCATCATCGATGTATATGTTTTTTGAAGTTTGATCTAAGATTTCTACATACTCTTTCTTTGTGTTGAGCTTCAAGCCATGCAACTCTGATTGGTCCGCCCTGTACTTCCATTTCAAGTTCTTTTCTTTTTTCTGCCATCAACATCGCATCATCTGCATACAGAACCGATGTAGGCTGTTACTTAAGACCTTCCGTCATGCGTCCATGACTGCGATGGAGATTGGAAGAGAAAGTACCTATCCCTGATGTACATCTTTATGCGGAATGGTTTTGACCGCCTTGCCGCGATTTGCACATGGCTCGTGGCTCCGTAATAGATCATTTTTATTTATTGGATGCATACTTTGGAACCATGTGCTTTCGCAGTGCCCACCATATGACATCTGAGGTCTTGTCGAATGCTTTCTCCATATCAAAGAAAGCCGCATGTAGCTCTTTTCGTTTTTCTCTATACTTCTCTATCACTATCCGTACAGTATGGATGGCGCCAGCAGCACCGGCACCCTTTACAAATCCGCACTGATTGGACGGCAACTCGATCTCTCGAAGTCGTTCTTAAGAAATCTTTCGAAGGTCTTCAAAGTGTGGCTCATCGTTGTGCTCTTTGAACAATCATGGGATAGGCTCTTAGCTTTGCTGACCTGATTGAAGAGGGCTGCAAGCCGTGAGGCACCGAGCCATCCGCATTCTTTCCAGAATTCGCTTGGTATACCATCTGGACCAGTTCTTTGTCCTTGCTATAGCAAGCCATACTTCCTCTGCTGTTATGAGTGGTAGTGGTCCTTTCACAGTGTCAGCTGATGGGACAGGGCCGATGCTAGTAGTAGACGACATTTTTTCGAAGTACGTTCGCCACTTTTCAGTTGTTTTGTGGTCTTCTTAACGTTTTTCCAGCTTATCCCTCACATGGTAGAAGTGTTCCATATCTTTTGCGGACTCTGCCCTCCCTCGCGCGGTAAATGTCGCACTCTCCATCAC